GTTTCTCTCTCTCTCTCTCTCTTTTAAATGAAAATAAGCACTACTAGATCATAAAGTTGACGATCGACATGGAATCATTGGCGCTGTTTGTTATGTTGATTTGTTGCGGTAAGAAAACACTATTTATTCGCTGAAAAATACTATTAAAATAGCGCTACAGAACAGAACGTGCTCATGCGTCCGATTTCTGTCAGTTTTTTTTTTCTGGAGTAGCACCTTGAATTTATATACTTGTTCCAATCCCAAATATAAATCTATTTATATTTACGATTAGTTAAATCTTTTTCATTTGGTTAAAAGTATATAAGATATACTATCTTAAATGAAAAGAGAATATACTATCTTAAATGAAAAGAGATATATAGACATTTTATAAAAGTTGTTTTGGTAATGGATCCAGCAATGACATATATATAGAATTTTAGATATTAATTCTCAAATCTATTTTTTAGTTAGAGCAAATCTAGAAGGATTTACTGTAGGTTTTAGATATTATGATTGAAGCTAGACAAGTTTAATTTATATATATTGTAGCTAAAGTAATATATGAGGAGTATATCTATATGTATATGTGTATCTATGTCTATACCTAGGGCTGGATATCGAGCTAGCTTGGCTCGGCTCGGTCCAGCTTGAGCTGGCTCGTTAGGCTAACGAGCCAGCTCGGCTCGGCTCGTTAATATTATGAGCTAGAGGGGCAGCTCAGCTCGGTTCGTTAGCGAGTTCGAGCTGGCTTGTTTAGCTCGCGAGCTACTAAAACAAACAGGACATACATGTTTAACAGCCTGATCGGCTGGGAGCGGCTGGCTAGACTGGCTGGCCAGCACTCTCACATAAATACGATTCACGTGAATCAGCCAGCAGTACTTCTCTCTCACATAAACGAACCAGCAACGATACGAACCAGCCAACCGAACAGGCTGTAAAATGTTTATGCCATAATAATTTTAGAAGGTGACGTACACCATTATGCAGCCATACATGATTAATACATATCAGGTTCATCAAAAATATTAACCATGCAACATAGCTGGTCCATCCACGATCCATATACAGTTTCAGCATACTTACTAGTTGGTTGCCATCACAGACTTAGAAAAGTCTACAAATTCAATATCAGCATCATCATCTTCTCCCAGAAAAATAATCCATAAATCAACATTTAAGTACCACAACAATTATAATATCAAATTTTATATGAAACAGCTGAAAATAAGGATTACATACTAATGGAATAGGTGTACACTTCTAGGTCAGCATCATCATCTTCTAAATTCATGGTCGTGGGCTGATAGGCCTCAGCTCGTTTGAGCTCGCGAGCTGGCTCGTTAAAACAGCGAGCTAGACTTCCAGCTCAGCTCGTGAAAAAGTTAAAACGAGCCAAGCCGAGCCGAGCCGAGCCAGACACGAGTCAAGCGAGTTGGTGAGTCACGAGTATTTTGTCCAGCCCTATCTATATCATATAATTTTAAACCCACTAGAGTTCAATTTCGACACGTTCAGCAGCTCACTGTCAGATGCAATTATAATACACTAGCATATACGATTATGATATACGTGTCAACGGGATACATCATCTACTAATATGTATTTAGTTGTTTATATTAACGTGCAACGTCATTCGCTAACATTAATTATAATAGTTATCTTTTATATAAATAATTATATTAACGTGCAACGTCATTCGCTAACAACGCGCGGCATATGCTCTTAGATATTATTATTCTAATTTCTGTAGTCAAAAGACAACGATCAAGACATATCGCTTCACAAGAAGAAAGAACGCGGTGGAAGAAGAAGAAGAGAGCTTGCAGGCTTCGGATTGGATTGCTGGATCGGTTTTCGCCTGCTCCAGCTCCAAAGGACACGGGACGATAAGCACGCATGTCGTTCTAGTTAGGACAGCATGGTGCAGCGTCATGTCGGCAGTCCATCTGAACTGACGACAGGTGTCGACCCATCCGATCCACCGCCAACCGCCTGCCCGATCCCCACCCCGCCGTCATGGCCCGCCCGCCCGCTCGCCACGAGCTTCCCCAATCCTCCATCCATTCCCTTCCCTTCCTTCATTGAACAACGCGCACGTTTAGATCAAAAACTTTTCCCAAAAAATACTACAGTAGCCATTATATCGAATCTTGCGATATATGTATGGAGTATTAAATGTAGATAAAAAAAACTAATTGCATAGTTTGGTTGGAAATCGCGAGACGAACGTTTTGAGCCTAATTAGTCCATGATTGAACATTAATTGCTAAATAAAAACGAAAGTGCTACGGTAGCCAAATTCCAACTTTCCTCCTAACTAAACAAGGGCTACGTTATGTGGTTTGAGGATTATACTTGTGCAAGGATTGTACCTTCACCAAGCATGTTTGGTCTATCCTCAAATCCTGGTTTGAGTTGTCAATCATTGATACACTCGGTACTAATGGGTCATTGCATAGTTACGGGTGCAAATGTCGAGAGAAGATAGACAGAGCTCATAGGAGAGGTTTTAATGGATTAATGATATATTTTTGGTGAAATATATGAAAAGAGAAAAATAGAAGAACATTTCAAAACAAAAGTTTACAGGCAAGAGAGGTGGCTTACTTACGCAAAGAAGAGGTTGATCAATATCAGTGGGCCACCAGACCAAATGTGGAAGCCAGTTAGACTGACTCCAACAGCGAGAAGGCAAAACGGCGACCCATTCCAGGATTTAGGTTGTGCACAGCAAATGGGTCACCGCCCCAAAAACTTCGTTTTCCAACAGCCAGAAGGTAAAAGAGGAGCCCCCCGAGGTCCGACCGTCTTCCTCCCCGCCAAGGTCCCCTCGTCTCCCTCCCCGCCGAGGCACAGGAGGGGCTCGCTGAGGAAGAAGACCCAGGGCTGCTCCCCCTCCCCGCCGAGGTCCGCCCGTCACCACTGACTCCACCACGTCACCGACGCCGCCGCTGCTCCCCCTCGCCGCGACCCCGCTGGGCGAGGCCTCCCGCCGCGGGCAGCAGAGGCCGCCCTGGCGCGGTTCCGGCGGTGCGGACGCGACCTCCCCCGCGCCTCGTCGTAGTCGTCCGCGGAAGCACGTCGCCGTCGTCGTCGGCTCCACCCCGACGCCTGGGCCCACCACTACCGACGCAAGAGGATTGCGTCGTGGGGAAGAGACGACGCATCTTTGTGTTCCGGCTTAGCTCGTACACAAAATGGGTGTTCGGTTTGCATACGCCATTAGAGACTGTTTTTTTTTACCCAAAACACGCTAAAAAATGTGTTTGGGTCCTGCTTTGGCTGCTCCATTGGAGACAGTCGTAGTAGCAGTATTTTTTCTTCCTGTTGCGTTTTTTGTTTTTCTCTCAAGGTGGCAGTTTGGGTAGTTGTTTTTCGGTCTTTTACTCCTTTGGTAGTCTACAGAGTTGAGTGGTCTTTTCTCAGTGCCGGAGTGGTCACGAGCTCTCGGCTCGTTGTTGTAATGCTGTAACCCCATTTTATTTTTTATTTTTTCTCGTCTAATAAAATTCCGACAAAAGCTTTTTGCCGACTTTCGAAAAAAATGATTGTACTTGTGTACCCCGAAAGAAAGAAAAATGGCAGCACAGCAGCGTGTCGATGCACCGTCTCCCTCTGACTGCTTGTTGCAGTTCGCCGCGATGTAAATCTCTTGGGCGCGTGGCGTGTCCTGAACGCTCGAAAGCTTCCGGGCGTGTCTGGAACGTAGGGATTTTGCAAGAATCGTGATCCTTCACTTAAATTAATTTAGTTTTATATATAAATTAGTTCGATTTCATGATCCCCTTTATCAAATAATCCTCCTATGCTTATCCATCACTGCATTCACGGCGGCGACAGCGACGCAAAGCGGAGCCTCGAGCAGCGACCTGTGCCCGTTCGGTTCGGCCGCCCGAAGCCGCTGCTTTTCCTTGTCGCTGCAGCAGCATTCTACTCTCACCGGCAACTTGCCACCGCTCGCCCGAAACGATGGCGACCTCAGAAAGAGGAGGAGACGCGCTCCTGCTGCTGGAGCTTCACCTCGCTAACTGTTCCGTTGATCTTTTTCTCTCGTGCCCAATAGCAACGGGTCAGGGACACTTTTCCTTTTACCACTAGCAGAAGGCAAAGGATCCGGGAAGAAAGTGCTCTTGAGACCCAGCAGAACAATTCTAGTATAGCAGGTCTGCCAAGATCTTTTGCATGGCCAATAAACACAAGTGTCTTTAGCGATCATGCAGGCTGTGTGGTCAGGTCAGATAAGCTAAGCGCACCATGATTGGACGGCTAAATCTGGAGAACCAATGGCCAATGGGTAAGCAAAGCACATACCACAGCGTATACAATCTGGAATACTAACAGAGGGAGGATCTGGTATTCAGAGAACAGAGCATACGCTCTGTATCAACTCTTGGGCCCTGTTTAGTTCCCTCCCAAAATGCCAAATTTTTCAAGATTATCTGTTACATCGAATTTTTGGACGCATACATGAAGCATTAAATATAAATAAAAAATAAAACTAATTATACAGTTTAGACGAAATCCACTAGATGAATCTTTTAAACCTAATTAGACTATAATTAGACATTAATTATCAAATAACAACGAAAACGCTATATTGTCATTTTGCCAAAAAAATCGACAACCAAACTTGCCCTTGTTTTATATGTTCTCCACAAAACAGACGTTGAGGCTGAAAATTTACATGTACTACCTACCTGCTACTGCTAGCTAGCATCAGAGTATATATGATTGTTCCTGACATTCATTCAGGTAGCCAGGGGATTTTTTTTTTTACACAAAATGGGAAGAGTGAGCAGGGAGGAATTATTCTCTACCACTGTGCTCTCTGAGGTAGTAGTGAGTAGTGACACGAGCCACGAATCCTCCTCGCCGTCTTGGCTCTCCTTTTCATCCTGCACTATCTCTCCTACTAAAAACTGCTAACCAACTAGCTACCCTACCCAAATCCAACAAGGCAAGAACCAAAGCAACAAAAGAGAAGAATTCGGCTGGCCATTTCGATCGATCATTCACTTCATCTCAAGGCCTCTGAAGTCGAGCATGCCGGCCCTGAGCCCCAAGAAGTGGTGGCTGTTGCTGCTGCTGCAGCTGCACCCGGGGGCTCCCTTCTGGATGCCCAGGCTGCAGCCGAAGCAGAGGCCGCCGCCGTGGCCGGCCTGCACCACCTCCCGCTTGACGACGACGGCGGGCTTGAGGTCCAGCTCCTCGTCTTCCTCGTCGTCCTCCTCCTGCTGTTGGCACGGCGGGCTGATGCAGAGGTCGAGGTTGAGGTCGGGACACCTGGGCGCCTTGACGGCCGTCGCCGCCGTCTTGATCGGCTGCTGTGGCGCCTGCGCTGCTGCGGCGGCGGCAGCGTTGGGGTTGGGCTGGAACGAGATGGTGGTCACGGCGCCGGCGCCGGCGCCGGCGCCGGCGATGGGTCGGTGCGTGACGGGGTCGATGCCCCTGCCAAGCAGCTTCCGCCGGATGTGCGTGTTCCAGTAGTTCTTGATCTCGTTGTCCGTCCGCCCCGGGAGCCGCGCGGCGATGAGCGACCACCTGCAGGCAATTGATTGATCGGATGTTCAGCTTGGTTGGGTGGCGCCGATGAAGCCAGCAGAGCGAGGCAACCAGTGAGAGTACGGAGCAGAGGCGGCACGTACTTGTTCCCGAGGAGGCTGTGCAGCTTGATGATGAGGTCGTCCTCGTCGGCGGTGAAGTTGCCGCGCTTGAGGTCGGGGCGGAGGTAGTTGATCCAGCGGAGGCGGCAGCTCTTGCCGCAGCGCAGCAGGCCCGCCGCCTTGGGCAGGGACCGCCAGCACCCTTCGCCGTGCGCGCGGATGTACGCCACCAGGCGGTCATCCTCCTCCTTGGTCCACGCGCCCTTGTTCGTGTGCGCCTTCTCGCAGCACGGCGACCGCCCCATCGGTCTCTGCTTGCTGCTTCGCTTTCGCTTTGGCCTTGCTGTGTCGGAAACCGGAACGGGAGCGGGAGCGGCGGGCGGCGGGTGGCGGCTGGGCTGGGCACGGCAGGGCAGGGGAGCGAGCTCCGCGATTGGATTGGAGAAGTCAGGCAGCGGGTGAGCGGGGGCGCGGGGTTTTATAGGCGGTTGGTTGGCAGCGGCGAGAAATGGGATATGAGGGGGAAGGAAAGGAAGTTGGTGGGTGGGCAGCGTTGGGTTGGGTTGGGTTGGGTTGCTGGGCCTGGGCGCCTGGCGGTGTGGGTGTGGGTGTGGGTGTGAGTTGACGGGACGGGACGGAAACGGCGCGACGACCTGACCCGCGTTTAGCACGGGCTACAAACACGTGGTTGGCTGATATACACCTTTTTTTTTATAGAGATTGATATACACCTGATGATCTCACCAGCGATTAGTCGATCGCTTTGATTTGCCCTGTCAGGCTGTCACGGATGGGATAGTGCTGTCGCAGGCATTATAAACGTTGCTAGGTGCAGTGGCTGTAATAAATGTATGCTATTATGGCCCCGTTCGCTTGTCTGAAAAAAGAAGCCAAAACACTGTAGCGGCTGGTTGTGTGAGAGAGAAATACTGTAGCGGCTGGTTGATGAATAGTGCCGCTGTGAGGAGAAACAAGCCGGCTGGTCTGAAAACCAGCCAGCCGAACGGCACCATAGGTAATACTGTGGTACATGTTGTATATGGAAGGTGAATAGGTTGATCCTCTGTTAATTTTGGTCCGCGCCCCATTTTAAAAGGGAAAATTGGTTCTATAGCATCCAAAGATGACTCATTTTGAAAAATAACATTGAAAGTTTGCCGTTCCATAAAATAGCATCGAAAGGATGAAACGTTCCCCTAAACTAGTATTCCGTCGTTGTTTGGTCCGTCCAAGCTTGTACTCAACGATTTCCTCCGGCTCACGAATGGCCATGGCATCTTTCGCCGTGGTGTAGACACGCGCTCCGCTGCGGTGACTCCGTGAGGCTACTAGCGCCCGCACGCCTTCGCTCGCTATTCGCGGCTGCCATGCGTGTGGTTTCCAACCATGACGTCAACACGTGGCACCGCCAGGAGGACGTACCGCCAGTGGAACTGCCCTTGCGAGGTGCAGCGACGCTGCGCGGCACGATGATCTGCAAAAGATGGAAATATAATTATATACGTACATGGCTGAAACAATTAATATGGTCAATCAACAGATTGAGCGTTCGGCGGCCGCAAACGACGAGCAGAGCTACGAGCGCGGAGATGCGCTAGTTACATTGATGCGGCCGAGGCGCAGACACGGACGCCAACCTCGTAGGGTGTTCAGAAGTTGCAAGAGATCATGCCACCACCACACATACCACAAACTCATTTTTGAAACATTCTTGCTCTTATGCTGCTGGCACATCTGAAAACGCAGGAACAACACGGTCTTCCGGGATGATCGGACTACGCGGGCAGGCGCTTTGGCAGCGTGCAAGACAGAGGCAAACGTGTGGCGAGTCCGTCTGCCGAGAAAAGATAGGCAAACAACAGATGCTTGGTGCTCTATCCTTACTGTCACAATGTAAACCTGAACTAGTCTTATCTTTGAACCGTGTACTGCTATGTATTTCAAACATCTTGCCTAGAGGGCCACTGAAATCAATATAATCTCAGGTGGGGATCCTCCCCCAGTCGACTTATAAAAAAAAACCTCGTGGGGTCACCGCAACGCAGCGCGGCCTGCATCTTGGACTGGAGCCCTGGACCATGGAGTGCAGCGAACGCCACTTGCGCCTTGCGGATGCTACCATGACCGTTTGCTGGCCCGCCTTGCTCGCATGTCACCGGCATGATCCTCCTCTCCGACGGGCAGGACACTTCCGGCTGCTTGACGAGCGTCAAGCCCGACGGCACCAAGAGCTACGCCGTCCTCATGCCGTCAAAGCAGCCGGCCGGCGCCGATCCTCACGTTCGGCTTTGACACGACCACGCCGCCACCGAGGCCACGGGCGGCACCTTCTTCTTCGTTGGGAACTAGGCGGCGATCCAAGACTCTTTCGCGCTGTGTCAGCGGACTCCTCTCGGTGGGCGTGCAGGAGGCGCGCGTCGCTGTCGCGTGCCTGCACCGGGGCGTCCGAGTCCAGGAAGGCAAGTCCAGCGCCGGGTCCAGGAAGTCAAGTCCGGTGCCTACAGCAGCCACTTGGGGGCCGATGGCCGCGCCGCCTCCATCGAAATGAATAGTCAGGAACGGCGTTAATGACAAATGTGATAAAATGCTAATTTAGGGTAACGTTCATTCTTTCAATGCTATTTTATGGAACGACAAACTTTGGATGGTATTTTCCGAACATACCAATCTGTTAATGCTATAGAACCAATTTTCCCATTTTAAAAAGGGGCTCCGATCCGATCCGGCGAATCCTTTCTCTCTTTTCGTTCGTTATTACGAGGGTTTCACCAAACCCTGGGCCTCCTTAATTCCACGCGCTAATTCTAGTCTTTCATTCTATCAAAAAAAAAAAATCTAGTCTTTCCGGTCTTCGTTGCGCAACAACGTGCTGGTGCAGTGGTGCAGATAAAGCTATGCTGGTTACTCTTTTGATCTGCATGCAAATGCTGGGTAGGCCAGCGGCAGCGCTGATTGTCGTCAGTAGAACTGAAATTCTTGTTGCAGCAGCTCTCGGAAATCTTCTGCCGTGACCCTCTTCAGTCTTCGACGTGTTCACGTGTATGATGTACAGTAGTTGTTATATGTACCTAGGAACGGAACACGCAGCATCTTGTTTTGTGTGGATATTGCCGTGCGTGGCAAACCACTACTCAAGGACGGGACTATACACACACTCTGTTGGTAGATGTAATGAAACCAAAGAAGACTATATAAACACATAAAAATAATATACAATTTAGTCGCAAGATTATATATAATTTAATCTATCTATATCTATCTATATATATATATATATATATATATATATATATATATATATATATATATATATATATATATATATATATATACTTTAATATTAAAGATTAAATGAATTCGTTCATCCATCTTTTTTATTTCCCATAATGCACCTAGTCTCTCCTTGTCTCGTGTGCGCTATGCTACTGAACTCGTAATCCATGCCCATATAAGTTAGAATCGCACACGTTTATGTAACAATGGTATGGAGTCCAATTTCAAGTCTATATTGGGCTTCAGCGGCTCTAGTTTCATAAAAAAAAAACATACAACAAGACCTAAGTTGCATTACAACTCGCCTATATAATACTACTCCCTCCGTTCCCAAAAGAATACAATTATGGCAACCGTGCCGGTCAATCGAGCTTAAGTTTGACCATTTATAGTAAATAATATTAACATTTATGTCTCAAGATTAATTTATTATAAAAGTATATTCTATAATTAATCTAATGACATTTATTTTGTATCACAAATATTTGTACTTTTTATATAAATTTAGTCATGACTCAGGTTGTTTGACTCTTGGAAATTCGAGAATTGTTTTTTTTTTGGGCGGAGGTAGTACAAAATAGGTGCACCATGCCGTACCTGTCAGGTCCTGTCTGCCTGTCTCGTTAGGAGGAACTATCACGGCCCGACGAAAACCTTGAACTGGATTTGCACAAACCTGCGCAAATGATCAGTGTACCAACCAAACCAAACAAACAAACAATGGACCGAATCGTCTCAACCTTTTTTCGCATTGCCGTACGTTAGCACCTACCAAGCACCTCGTTGATCGATCGGAGGAGACATATCGATCGCCCCTGTTGCACCTGCACCGCACTGAACTGCACCGTCAGGGATGACACACGACGGCGACAAGTCGCCGCCGATGAATCAGATCGGTCGGCTGGCCGGCCGGTCCCCGCAACGCTCCAAAGTCGAAACTACTACCTTCGCCCTGCCATGTGCCGTCCGATCCTACTGCCTACCAAACACATTCTTTGGGTGATGGATTCATGCGTGGTGGTGGGTCTGGACGTCTGGTCCTCGCCTCATCCGTGGCTAGCTTCAAACTCCAAACAGTTCAGTGTCACGTTACATGCATTCATCCACGCATTCCAATTTGTAAGCAAAGACCGTGAATTCAGCCTCACGATTTGTATTCCTGGTGATGGAATTTTGAAGAGTTAGGTGGTCGTCGTGCCACGGGCAGTGCATGATACAACAAAGTTGATGCGCGCCGGGCGCGGTGAACTGGCCGGGGGTCCGTGTCAGTGTCGTCATATATATCCTTCCTCACACTAACTAAACGTGTGCCTTTTGTCTGTTTGCCGTCCTTGACCTTGCATCCTAATCTAATACAGGAGGCTAAGCTTTTAGGTGGTTTATTACAAACAAACAGAGCCTAATCCGGAGAGTCAACATACACAAACGTGACTGGATATGTACTACTTTAGAGAGCTGCCAGCTAGCAGCATATATCGCCGCCAGTTTCAGGTTCATCCAGGTAGGCACGGCCGGATGTTTGGAATGGTAGACACAGTCAGACACTCAGGTTGGTGAACTCCAGCGTCATCATGTGTTTATAATGGGGGGATACTGCAGCGGGCCGTTGCCCTCATCCGCACGTGTCGGGTGTCGTCTGTCGTTGGTGCACCCACTCCCGAACCAACTCCGCATGCTTGCTGCGGTTAGTAGTTTACGGTGGACGGAACAAACAAATCGTCGGATATCATACACGACGGTACGACACACACACGGTACTACTAGTTTGTATTATCAGCTGCGTACCTCCCTTTCGGTTTGCACCATGCGACCGGTACTCCAAGTGTATAAAACACGGGCAGCCTTCTCGACGTACAAGTAGCCGGCAATAACTACGGCTGCAGCAACCGCTACCCCAAAGGCACTCTGTGCAAGCACAGCGCCGGTTGGGAGGTCTGATTTGGCTGATGCTGTGCTGCGAGGCGTGAAGCCAAGCTCAGAGAGTTTCTTGTGTGATTCAGCGTAGTCCTTGAAGAAGGCATCTTCATCCTGTGGTACGAACAAAGACATGGTTCTGAATCAGTGGATCTGAAGCTTGTATAACCAAACAAGGTGCAAAAGTGCGCTGTGCATAAAGGGTAACTCTTAAGTCCTATTCACCTTTGCATAAAGCTCCACATAGCGCCTAAATTCAGGATCTGACAACAGTGCCTTATCAGTTGGGAGCTTTAAAAGCCCCTCAGATTCCTCACTCAACAGCTCACTGCAGTAACATAATAAATTAATCGACAGCACACTCGTTAACCATATGGAATCTAGTCAGCAAACCATGTAGAAATTCTGACTTTGTTCAACTTACAGAAAGTATGAATTATCAAACTTAAGAGGCTCCTTTGTCCAGGCACCTTCGAATCCAGACCTCTCAGGATGAGCCCTTCCCTAAAAAAAGAACAAAGGTATTAAGATGCACTTATGAACAAATGAGGAATTCCTTCAGAGGCTATAAAAAATTACCAGAGTATGCCCCCCCTGACAGAGCTACAATATCTGTCCGATAAGCCCATTCGATAAAAGATGTCCCTCAGATGTGGTGCACCTATTCATGCAAAGAAGCTAAAAAATCAAGAGATGTACATTAGCAACAGATATGATCAAATAATAAGTGCAGAATAACACCAAACCATCAGGATAAAAATTACCAAAGCTGGATATAGACGCATGTTGCATATAGTACTAGTTATATGAAGAAAGGCAGGAACAGCTCCTAATAGAAAATGATATCTATATTGTTTAATAAAACTTCAGGTAAGAAATCCATGCAGCAAACATGGAGCCCAGATAGGCAGATACACATAACAGTTTGATGCTGAGAAGCAACAAGAAGGTTTGACACATGAATTACACAAGTACCATACTTCCTTCCTTCCCTCTCAAACTTCCAAAATAATCACGTTAAAAGAGTTAGGATACATGACATGTTACAATTACAACCACACAAGTACAGCCCAAGGTAGTAAATAGTACCTTTCTTAGCATCCGGCAGACGCCCTTCATGGGGGCACACTGACGAATCCTGATTAATGTCAACCAGTTAAAGAGTGAACATCAGGAAAGATGAATCCAATCATGAAGGAATGTTCTTTTCTACATACACGTCTGCCAGGAACAAACTCAACAGTTGGCGGTCACTTCAACTGCAACCACTCCAGCAAGCTGTTTATAATTGCAAGTAGGTTAGTATTTATATTGAATCCAGAGTTTCACCCTTCCCAACAGGATTAAAAAGTCCAATCCTGGCAAGGTTAAAAAAAAGCCAGACATCAAATAGAAGAGCAAATTCAAGGTGATCCCAAATTACCTGATAAAGGTCTGCATATTTTATCTTTGGATTCTTTGCTTTGAAAGGCTCTAGAGGGAAACAAAAGACAATTGAATAAGCAATAGTACTGATTTCATTTATTTCAGCAGTGAACGAATACAGAAGAAAACAAGAAATACAAATCACCATCATCCCACATGGAGTGCGATTAACAAACGAAGTAGCATTCTCATAAACTGCAGTTGCTCTGACTGAGACACTTCTGATTTTACATTTAAGGCTTTATGGTATACAGTGAACCATTGTCATGAGTACATAGTCTAACTGCATGTCTGCATGACAAGTCATAGACCTACAAATTAATAGTTCTGACCAAGTAGATATTTATGGGAGGACTTCTTTCCTAAGCATCTAAAAGCATACTATATAACTTTTTCAATTTATCATCCCAGAATAATTGACATGAAAATCCAATATTTTGTTATCTGACCTTGAAGATAGCAGAAAACCCACAGCCACAAAAAAGGAGCTTCAGTGAATCAGAAAGAAACTAGAAAAAGGTGCAAATTGATTTCTTTGAAATCCTCGTTCAATTAGCTCATACATAGTTTATAGGTTGATATAATATTATTGCATAGGCATCCAGTATCATATTGAGTATAAACAATGCATACCAAGGAGATCGATAGCAATCTTTAAACCAACATTTGAACCATGGGTGTACTCTTCCTCATATCTAATCGAACCATTTGCTCCACCGGTTTTTGTGTTCACGTCATAAGTTCCAGCATCATGCCATCTGCAAGGGAGAACAAAGAAGTCTTCAGTGTTTGAACAACAGGAAGAATGGTGTAAGCTAAATCCATATTAAGCAGAATACATTCCTGGATGAATCCTACAGAAAATGGAGGCCAATTTGGTGTGATTTAACTGGTTATCATATCAATGGTATAAATATGAGTCCAATTTATCTAAAAGTATGGGAACTCCAACATATAGACTAGTCGCCATATCAGTTGGAGTGGCCCTCTACAAAATTGTGCTCTACTGGAGCTTCTCATAAGCTGTTACTAAGTAAGCACCATATATTTCCATCTATTAGTGGATAAAATACTTTCTCCCAGGTCCTAACTCATACAGGAATACAGAGGTACCCTATCCACCTCTCAGCAATTCCACAGTCCACATAAAAGCAAAGGTAATCCCAGTTGAGCTAGAACAAGTATCTTGTGTGAGATTTCCGCGATCTCTCTATGGAATTGAGAAACACGGTTGTGATAGTGGCAGCACTACTGCCGGCTATGGTTGTGATTTGACTGAGGGCTCTATCTTAGCAATTCTAACAAGATTAATCTGTTGTAAAACATACGGATTATATCCTAGAAGGAAAGGAGAAGGAGAAATCATAATCTTAGTCTATTTGTACGTGGGCTCTTACCAAAACTCTTATACCTTGACAGGGCTATATATACGTGGGAGCTCTATGTTGTAATCACCAATAGTCAGAGGAATAAAGAATAGTCTCCCTATCTTGTGTGTATATGTTCTATTTTCATCTACTATATTGATCATGAGAGACGGAGAGGGGAAGGTCCTAACCGCTGGCAACATGTTTTATAACACGTTATCAGCACGACAAGCTCTTCGTCGACATCGTCGTTGAAGCTGTCACCGTTCTTCGATGCCGGCGCTTGTACCGTCGCCGTCCCGCTGCGACTACTTCGACGACGTCGACAACCCGACGTTGTTAGCGGAACGGATTTGCTACCTCTACCTGCAACTAATCTGCACTGCATCGACATGCACCGTCGTCGTCAAACAGACAATTCTACGACAATGCCAAACATCCAACGTGATATGTATCTACTAACCACTGTCCTACGCGGCAAGTGAGGTAGATCAAATTGGCATCCTATAAGGTATGAAATCACATCTTGAAGATCCCGTTTGTCCCGACCTCGAGCCGGGTTAATATTTTGCCCTAGTTATCAATGCACGTAGTAGCATGTATATCCTACACATGCCAGCAGCTATACTCTGTATACTTGCACGTATACAAGATGAACTTGCACCAAAACACATGCTAGAACAGAATACGCCGAAACTGTAGGCTTTAAATGCGAACGTTCCCGAGGCTATCACCGACTAGCAAGTCGTTGTTGCCGCCATCCTACATGCAAGAACAAATACAAGTATGTTGACTTGAACGTCACCAGTATTAGGGCTAACAAAAATTATAAGTAGAAGATATATATTGATATAAACGATCGGACCTCAGAAGGTTCGTGGTGTGTTTCAATCTACGTGTTTTTTTTAACGCCATGAAGGCCATGGCATGAAGCCAAGCACGACACAAAAACTGACCTTATCATATAGCAGCAACTGTGATGGAAATTGTCCCTGCATGGATATAGACATGGCAGACTCCCTGAAGAAGTTAAACGCAACGAAACGGAGTTGGTCTTGGCACCCTTTTTTTATATAATATAATATATAAATGTATCACGGCCAGGATCCTGTAGGTCAGCATGCCAAACCCGTAGCACTCGGGCCACTGCCGCAGTTCGGACAGCCGTGTCGCTGAAGCTGTCGGCGGCTTGCACGCCACCGGCAAGCTCATCAGGCCCTGGCAGCTTGCACCGCTGCACAGGCACCTATTTTAGAAGGATTGAATCCTCCGGTTGAATCCCGTCAGCATCACGTGCCATGGAACCATGGTACAGTAGTACACAGCTGGCGCTAGCACAACGCTGCAGGTTGCACTATCTGCCGCCATGTCGGTTCCTCACAGCTTGTATTACGCAGTCTGCACGCTGCCGCAGTACGTACACGAGGCCGACTCGAAGTCATTGCTAGTTCAACGGAGCCCAACGAGGAGGTGGCCGCGCGGCTCGCACGCCACGCGCCATATCTGCCGATGCATACACGCATGGTTGGCTGGCAGCAACCATGCACGTCAAGTGCAACGAGGAGGAATTACCGAATTACTGTCGTCCCTCTGCTCTTGCCACTGATGGGACTCTGTAAGCAACATACCCCTCACCAGAATTTAGCGTGGTCCTCACGGCACTAAACCACATTGTGTTGATATTTTTTATGCTCTTGTGAATGCATTTATTTATCGCACATCATAAATTTTCTACCATGTGATTGGCAAGGATAAAATCTTGAACGATTACACTAAAAACATGGTATAAAGTATATGGGCTCTAAAAATCCTGCAGACCTTAGACTTGTCACCTTTGAGAGGCGCTCATATTTTTTTCCTAGCATAATGGATTTTTGGGATAAACGAATACTTAGTATTAATTCTGAAAATTTACATATATCATAATCCTGAAAAATGCTAGGATGCTTCTAAGAATATTTTAAATAACCGTCTACTATCTTTTTGCACCTTGCTACTTGTTTACATGTAGTAAGCTTATATGCACATGGTCCAATTTTTGTTAATATATGCATCCTTAAAGGAAGAAGAATATCCTGGAATTACTCTGAATAGTAGAATTATTTGTTATGGTCATTATTAAATCCATGCAGGATATTTTGCTACCATTGAAGTGTAGTGAATTCAGGGTATATACTTCCTGATTACTCTCTAAAATGAGTATATGGCCGAGAGAAATAACAAATGCATTGTGGGACTCACTGCATGAGAACAATCCTAAATTATGAATATACAAGAATATATTGCATTGAAAGTCGAATTTTCAAGCTTGAATGCCTATATATTGAGGTATAATGCTGATCTATAAACAATAGCTTGAAGCTTTGTATTGAATGTCTAGAAAATAAGATGGTAAATAAGATTTTTCTTGAAGAAATGTCTCTTGTGTATATAATATCAAAGAGCAATGTAATACATGAAGTATTTGAATTTATCATCAGATATCACTCAAATAGAAGTTGAGTTAGAATTTTTAGACAGCTCTATGAACAAGGATATATACTTGCATATGTTACACTCCTAGAAGGATCATGATTACATATCACCACTATGAAATAAAGCATGCATGAAGCTGCTAAATGTCAAGTATAGAAGCTAAGACATGTAAGAATGGATAAGAATTTTTAAGGTTTCTCTAGGAGAACTTAAATCATGTGCTTACAGACTTATTTTGTCTTTAAAATTACTATCTAAAAGTATTAGTAGTAGCGGTGGTGCTTTAAGTTTTGATTCCCGTTGATTTAAATGGTTCTTATATACTCATAGAAGAGTTAACGGTTTATTTATTAGCTTAAAGACTAATACGAAGCATTTAATATTCTTAGTTGCAATTTTTACTTGCAGTAATATATATTAATCTTGCCTGGAATGAATTATTGCCTATTGCCTATCTAAATAAGTTTTGCATCAATTTTATCCACGAAGGAGCCTCAGTTAACCATGAAGGTTATAGTTCTTTGTGCACTACTACCATGGAGGTAGAAGGGAAACTGAAGTTTCTAGAAGCACATGAACAATTGGAGTATACTGGCATATTAATTGATCTTAGAAGGATCAATTTAGCCAAGAAATTGTATAATCCCAAAAGTAAGTATTTAATAATTTAGCCCCAAAAAATACTAGAAGTTTGTCCTACGCTGAATATGTTTTGTACACTGAATGTATGAATTTCATGCCACAACCAATGAATACTAGAAGTATGATTGAATTCAATAAAATATTGGAAATGATTATCCATAGATGATGCATGAAGCACATTACTACTTGAAGTAACTATAGCATGAGAGGGAGGATTTTTTGGGAAAATGCATAAGAAAACGTGGGTAATATATATTTAATAGGCATAGTCTTTCTAAATCTATCTTTAAGTGTATGTATCAGGACTTGAAATCCTAGTCGTGTCCCTTTCGGCCGAGTTAATTGCAAGCAAGCTTGTAGCTTTGCATTTTGTTGTTATCTATTACGTTGGATTGAATACCAACATTCCACATTACACTTGAATGTGTATCACTATGTTGTGCTCTCGTTGAGCTGCAACTATCGCCAGTCCTACATGAATATTAGCATAGAAGCTATATTTGTAGCTAGTAGCTACCTTGCACTTTCCCCGTAATTAGATTGGCTAGCTAGTATGATATGTCTATAGTTCCCGTTGAACTAAGAAATATCTTGCTTTCAATGGATCGCATGATAAGCAATAAATTGGTTTAGGGCCAAGTAGCCTAAGATCAGGGGGGTTGCTTAAATTGAAATTGGCTAAATGGAGAAGTAACCCAATTGAATAGGATGGATTATAGTGGAAATTGGGTTGATAGATAAAACACTTGTGATGATTTGGGATATATTTATGAAGAAAAGGCATTTCGGGAATTTTGCATTAATAAAAATTAGAAAATTCTAGAAGAAATTCCATGTGAATTTGGTATGAGTACTTGGATCAATGTTTTGGCTAAACAGTAAAGAAACTAGAAAATGAAATAGTTTTCAAAACTATGATATGTGTAAATCAGGGGGAGACCCTGAATTTGTAGGAATGCTGAACATTCTTAAGTGCACTTTATGTATTCTAGCTCACTGCATTTAGTGTGTAATAACCCCCATATTTAAATATGTGCGTGGATGTTTCCCATAAAATTTCATCATAGCATACATGAATGGGCCTCCGCTTGTAGTTGGAGATGCATGAATTTGATTATTTTAAGCCCATGATAGGGGATATCTTTTGAAGTATGCTATTAAAGATCTAATATTGGCATTAGGGGGAGAGAAAGCCTATTTTGAATGCCAAATATTATCTCCATAGAAGGAAAATGATCTTATAAGAGAAAAATATTCCTTGAAGCTTGAAGCAGGAATAGTATCACGCACTAAATCAAACAATAGTTTGACAAATGCTCTTATGAAGCATGAAGCGAAGCATATGCCAGATATTTTTGAAAAATGAGAGGAGTAACTTGAAGTTATAAATCATAAGTTTTTACTAGTAGTAAACTAAGTATTATATACTATTAAGCTAAAATCTACGGGGACGCATGTAGATTCTAGTTTAGTGTATACTTGTCAAATGAAATAAGAACAAACTTCTCCATTCTCATGAAGAGAATATCTCATGAAGAAGGTTAAGCACCTCATGAAAAGGATCATCATGAAGATGAAATCCAACACACTAAGCGCGCGCATCATTAGTGTTGGGTATGCAGAACAACAAATCATCTCTTGTTTGGTAAATAACAAAGAGATAGAATAATCTCACATTGTGAGAATATTGGGAGAAAAGAATAGTTGTCGATAACGCTACCTCTATAATTGCAAATGTTTCCCTTATGAGAACCCGGATCCGGAAAACAAAGTTCGTGGCAAAGTCGCATGTAGCGATTATATCGGGTCAATGAAGAAAGCAATTGAGGTTGAATCTCCTACTAAGAAGAAATAAATGTTCTGCTATATCTCTGGCAAATGAAATTAATGATTATGAAATATGCAGTTAGTAAATGGATTCTGAAAATCCATACAGTTAATGAAGAATAGAAATCACAACATATGGAAATTAAATCTCATACCAAGTATTAAAAAGTCTAAGGTATAATATATTCCTGAATGAAATTGAAGTCTCAAGAAAGGCATGTCCTAGAAGGAATAGTCATCGAATGATTTTGTAGTGAATAACACTATCTCATTGTGTATATCACATAATAATCTCTCATGTAGTAGAGAATATATCTCATAGAAGAGAAATATTATTCACTAGGAATAAGAACATCCTTGAAGGATTTAATCCATGAAGGATTTACTAGTCGATTCTTGAAAAAACACCATTAATCCTTGAAGTGAAAGTAGACCCGAGAGAGAAAATGTGGAATTCTAAATACCATAGAAGGTATAAGAATAATGGTTATTTTGACAATTGAATTATCCTCTAAATGCCAAATGCAAGACTAGATTTATTATTTAGTAGTACAATTAAAGTCCTGAAGATTTGTAGAACATTTAATTTGAAAATCCACTAAGAAAGAATTATAAGTACTCAAACTCTAGTATAAGTTTAATAAACTATTTAGAAAATATTAAATATGAACTGATTTACCCTCGTAATCCTCTGAAAGGATTTATTACTTTGAAGGATAAATTTATTTGTTTTGCACAACTGATAAGTGGTCATTATGCATGAAGCATATGGCTCTTATTTATATCCATATAATTCATAGAAGAATTATGAGCCAACTTTTTGGTAATACATATCATTAATTAAGCACACATTTATGAAAAGTGTGGTTTGAACAATGAAGTTCAAAATTTGGCTTTATGAGGGGGAGCATATTTTATTGAGGGTTCGTTCGGCTGACATGAGAGTCAGCTGAAAAATCATTGTTTACAGCTGAAAACACTGTTCACTCTCTCACAAATTCCTCTAGATTCATCCAGATTCCTCCCAACGAACAGGCCCTGAATCTACCTTGAAGGTAAACCATTAGAGTTACAAAGATCATGTAGATCATATATGCTAAAACACTGAAGTTTATGCATAGATCATGAAGATAAATATCTATTCATGAAGAATAGAACATTCCGAAGAATACATGACCAAGAAGGTTAAATGTTGTACTCTTTTTTCCTATGTGAGTTTTTATTTGAAGGTTTCTCACGTAAGGTTTTTAATAAGACAACATGTGCAATGCAATTAACGAATGTGATGTATTCTTTTCTCCAAGAACCGTTTTTCCTCACTGGATTTTTGGATGGTGTTTTTAATGAGGCATGTGCATATCGTGGTAATCGCTTAAGGGAGAGTGTTGTAAAACATACGGACTCTATCCTATAAGAAAAATCCTAGTCCGTTAGTATGTGGGCTCTTACCAAAACTTTTAAACCTTGTCAGGGCTATATATACGTGGGAGCTCTACGTTGTAATCACCAATACTCAGATGAATAATCTCCCTGTCTTGTGTCTATATGTTTTATTTTCATCTACTGTATTGATCGTGAAAGACTGAGAGGAGAAGATCCTAACCGCTTTATAACATAATCAACGGAACCAGATGTGAAATTAACAACTCGAAATTCATCACCCCCTACTCTTCGCTTATCAGTGCGACAGCCGCGGCAAGGAAACTAAGATTAGGATGCGCTTAACGCTAGGGCACGCGCACGCACACGCAGGCAAGGTGCTCGACAAATTCCTTCGCCAAAAAGCCAAACCAAATCAGACGAAGCCACGACTAGGCACGGAACCAGGGCACCAGGCCAGTGAGCTCAACCGTGAAGCACGAGAGAGCAGCAAGCAAGCGCGCCACAGACTAGGCCACTAAGCCAGCAAGAGAGAGTCCAACAGCCCAGGAATCCCCATGCCAATCAGAGGCAACAGGGCCGCGAAGAAAAAAAAAATCAGCAGTAGTTGGGGGTCCGGGGGAGTAGTATACTAGTGCGCGAGGAGGTGAGTGATTGGCGACGTACGCGAGGCGGAGCATGATCGGGGCGCATCCCTTGTTGGAGATGAGGACGCGGAGGTGGCGGCGCGCCCTGTCGACCTGGCGCAGGTACTCGGCGTCGACCACGGGAGCCGCCATCGCCGGCGCCTCAGCCGCGGATTCCTGGAGATCGGAGAGCCGGTGGGGAAGCGTGGGCGGAGCGGAGGCGTGTGGGGGGCGACTGCTGACTGACTGCTGAGCTGCGCAGTGGGGATGGGAAGGGGGAGGAGGCGACAACTGACAAGTCGAGGACGAAGATAACGCGAGCGACGGATTCGATTGGCCTTGATTTGCCGGCGCCACGCCAAGCCAACGAACCACCCGCTCGGTCTGCATCTGCTCGCCTCGTCTCGTCCTGCGCCGCACCCGCACCCGGGACAGTTACGGCTACCGGGTGCTACCGGTGGCTCAGTCAGCCCGCGTGCATGGAATGTGGGACCATTGTCGAGTGGGGCCAGTTGTCACAAGGCTTGTTGCGTTTATTTCGGTGTAACCTGTTCCTTCTTGTTTTCGCCGCTAAACCCGGCCGTGCTGAAAGCGTGTTTATTCAGGTCCAGAATTCGGCCTAGCTACGGCCCTATTGACATGACAGCCCAATCAAATGCAACTGGGCCTTTTTCTTTTACTACATTCTAATAATCGGCAGCCGCCAGGCTTAGGGCAGCTCCAATGTTTATTTTCTTAGCAAGGGGCAAGCTGGAACAGATCACATAGTGCTTTACTAGCAAACACTCTAATGTATAAGCTTGATAACGTATACTATAGTTGTGTTTCGTTCAGTTTCTGGAAAGTGTTTTTGCTGCTAAGTTTTATTCCGATCTTTGCATAAGTTATGCACTCAAAAAGCTCGTAAGAAGTAACAATAAACTATGTTGTAAGCCTATTCAAAAACGGCCATCCATGTTTGACGAAGATCTCAATTGCTGTTGTCTTCAGGATACAACTTGTCCATTTTAACGTTGGTCAGTCGTGGTCCTTTTATAAGATGGACCAGAACTGTATCTTATGTATAGCTCTAAAAACAATCTGCAAATAAGAAGATAGTATCTTTTTTGTCAAAAACCAAATAATTTCGACTCAACCAAATAAACCAAATGAGCTTGCTCCCACACAAACTTGAGAACTTAAGTTGCCATCTACTTGTTTAAGCCAAGGACAAAAAAAATCTGTTGGTGGACGTAGAGAAAAAATAATCAAGAGAGTAAGTAATCAAAGGGAGATATGCAAACATACCGTGTTCTAGGTGTAAAAAGATGTCCCACAACGGTGAAAAGAGGGACACACGAAGGAAAAATAATTTATGAAATGAAGTTGTGCTTTGAAAAACAGGCCTTCCATTTGAAAAAGTTGTCATTCTAGCTATGAATCTAGACGAACATTTGTTCAGGTTTAGAGAATAACATTCATTTCGAGATAGAGAATGTAATTAATTAAGCAACATTATGAAGGTGAAATATAAGAGGTCGGGTAAGTTTCATGTGCCACTTATGTATGATTGTTACTCCCTCTGTCCTTGAATAAGTAGATTTCTAGCAAGTTAATGACAGATTAGTATGACAGAGAAAAGATCATACCACTTCATTAACTAGAGTAGTTGCGGTGATTGTTCCAATAACATTTACTACACATATCGAACTGCAGAAACTCAACACTAGATTGAGAGATGATAGGGGTGCGGTAAATGCGAGGAGATTAAAATTACGATTTTGACAGCCATCACCGGTGTGAAGCATATAAGCGACCCATGGTTTGCCCGGTCCATAAAAATTTTGTGGTATGGTCTACCCCTGCCAAGTCGCATTGCAGGGATCATTCTTCAATCATCGTTGCATGGCAAGTGCCGTCGCCTTCATATAGAAATTGGACCCATCATTGCAAAATCTGTGAGGAGGAGCAGACTACCACAATTTAGCACAACATTCAAATGACAACAAGAGGTAACAATTCCGCAATTACATCTCCACAAACTGCAGCTTATGAGCTGGCGTCCATAACCGAAATGGTTTCTCTTTAATCTGCTGCCATTCTCTCCCTCTCGGGGACGCATGCTGCCATCAGAAAGCACACCAACAAAACCCAGCGCGTACGCGCACGCGCGCGGCGGCAACCGTTGACTGCCTGTGTCGTGGCTGGAGTGGTGGTCGGTGCTGTCGCAGCAGGCGTTCCCCCGCGCGCGCGCCCACGCGTCGGTCTCCTGGAACCCGCCCGCGGCACCCGGCGTTCCCGGGCGGCCGCTCACCCCCCCGCTGCAGCCTCCGGGCCCCTCCCTTCCCGCGCCCTTCCTATTTCAGGATCGCTACTACTAGGGGCCGCGAACCCGTAGCCCTTAGTCTCTCTCCCCTCCTCGCGCCCCTCGTCCGCTGTCCCGTCCCGGTCTCCCGTCCCCCGGACGCATGCATGTCGACATGTCCCACCGCGTCCGGCTCGCAGCGGCGGCAGCGGCGCTCGTCGTGGTCGCCGCGCTGGCGCTCGCCCCAGGCTCCGCGGCGGCGTGGCAGCTGACCAAGAATGGCACCGTGGTCAGCTACGACCGCCGCTCGCTCATGATCGACGGCCGCCGGGAGATCTTCTTCTCCGGGTCCATCCACTACCCGCGGAGCCCGCCGGACATGTGGCCGGAGCTCATCGCCAAGGCCAAGGAGGGCGGGCTCAACACCATCGAGACGTACGTCTTCTGGAACATCCACGAGCCCGAGAAGGGACAGGTACATACCGCATCTCTCGATTCGATGATCCGATAAATCGATGCGCGTGCGAAACCGGAGAATGAGAATGCTAGCTCATGGTGATCGACACGCCCGATCCATCCATCAATCGGTTAATGCACACACACCTGCGTTCCTTAATTCCCTTGCAGTTCAACTTCGAGGGGCAGTACGACATGGTGAGGTTCTTCAAGCTGATCCAGGAGCACGACATGTTCGCCATGGTCCGGCTCGGGCCCTTCATCCAGGCAGAATGGAACCATGGGTTTGTTCGTGTGCCTTCCACATCTCTTCCTTCATTGCTCTGTACCAATTAGCATTTGGTATGATCTTCCAAAGTCTTTCCATTTTCTTCTGTTCTGACTTAACTTTTTTCATTTCTTTTTGTTCTGTACCAATTCTTTGTCAGAGGACTGCCCTACTGGCTAAGGGAGATCCCTGACATTGTGTTCCGGACGAACAACGAGCCATACAAGGTACGTGATCACTATCTATCTGATCACCAGAACAACTAATTGTGCATGAGGCAAATGTCAGCCATGATGATATGTGACCTGTTGATTTCTTTTACGCAGATGCACATGGAGACGTTTGTGAAAATCATAATAAAAAGGCTCAAGGATGCAAACCTTTTCGCGTCACAAGGAGGCCCCATCATTCTAGCACAGGTAATAGTTAGACAGTCAAAACTGTTGTAGCAGCATCTTCCTCTTGAGGTTTCTTTTTGGCCTGGCCTGATGATGAACAATGCTCTAGCTATACATAATCCTTTCTGGCTTTTTGGCCTGGCCTGACGGACAATTATCTGGTTATTAAATATGTTCCTTTGTAACAAAATGTTTGTGCCCAAATCTCGTGCCAGATTGAGAATGAGTACCAGCATTTGGAAGCGGCGTTCAAAGATGAGGGCACCAAGTACATCAACTGGGCAGCACAGATGGCCATCGGCACCAACATCGGCATACCATGGATCATGTGCAAGCAGACCAAAGCTCCTGGTGATGTGGTAACTTTCATTTTTTTTTTACCGAATATATATGTTGTGCTTCCCTCTTCAACAAACTGGGGTTAATCCTTATAGGCTTAGCATTCAGATGACATTTTAGAGTTTGAGAATAGCAAACTTCAGTAGTTGTTACTCTCAAACTAACAAAATGATAGCCTTTTGAGCTAAATTTGTACTATTTTTTTTATAAGGAAATTTGTACTGCTTTAAAAAGATACCAGCAATAACACGCTGGGCTTTTTTTTTTCTTCTTGTGTAGATTCCTACCTGCAATGGGAGAAACTGTGGAGATACATGGCCAGGTCCAATGAACAAGAGCTTGCCCCTCTTGTGGACTGAGAACTGGACAGCACAGTAAGTTCTTTCTCCAGCAATAGTAATCCACTAACTTACCTTTGCTCAACAAGCTAGATCACTATCCATAGGAACCTTCATCGTAAATCAATCATTTTCTTGGTGTATGTAAACAGGTACAGAGTCTTCGGTGACCCACCATCCCAGCGTTCTGCTGAGGACATTGCGTTTGCCGTGGCGCGCTTCTTCTCCGTGGGCGGTACTATGACAAACTATTACATGGTACTCAACTGTAGTATGAAAAGAAATAACAAAAAGAAAGCTCAATTACACTTTTAGGATGAGACAGTAACTGTTGTCGTTGTCGCTGAACCGCACGGTTACATTACATATCTTTGTTTGAAACTCTGAACAGTACCATGGTGGAACAAACTTTGGAAGGACATCTGCTGCCTTTGTGATGCCAAAATACTACGACGAGGCACCTCTCGATGAATTCGGTGAGACGCCGGCCGACGTTGGCAGTAGCTGATTGCGATCGATCAGTTGCCAGTTTTCCTTTTGTCAACTCTGAAGATTGATGGACTATATTCAGGTCTGTACAAGGAGCCTAAGTGGGGCCATCTGAGGGACCTGCACCTGGCGCTGAAGCTGTGCAAGAAGGCCCTGCTCTGGGGAACGCCGTCGACGGAGAAGCTGGGCAAGCAGTTCGAGGCGAGGGTGTTCGAGATACCGGATCAGAAGGTGTGCGTGGCGTTCCTGTCCAACCACAACACCAAGGACGACGTGACGCTGACGTTCCGGGGCCAGTCCTACTTCGTGCCGCGGCACTCCATCAGCATCCTCGCCGACTGCAAGACCGTCGTCTTCGGCACCCAGCACGTGAACGCGCAGCACAACCAGAGGACGTTCCACTTCGCGGACCAGACGACGCAGAACAACGTGTGGCAGATGTTCGACGAGGAGAAGGTGCCCAAGTACAAGCAGGCCAAGATCAGGATGCGCAAGGCCGGCGATCTCTACAATCTCACCAAGGACAAGACCGACTACGTCTGGTACACCTCCAGGTGCGCGGTCGCTTGCTTGCTTGCTTC